ACACCTAACAAAGTAATCATTAGTCTTAAAGAGAGCTATTTATAAAAACAATTTTTGATTCTTTGCTTAGTGAAAATGTACCATTTCAGTTTCTTTATTTACCATGCAATTCATGTTATAAAAAAACATATTGCCAAAATAACACTTGTAAAAAAATAACTTTCCAGAAATCTGAACTCAAAGATATTTTATATCTTTTAAGGGTAAAACTAGACATATTTTCTTCCCATTATTTCATAATTGTGTGTTTTAAATAAATTTTGTTTATTTATTCAATTAAAATTATTTAGGAGGCAATTTCCTTAGTTTTTCATTTTATTGAGGTATTGTTTATTCTATTTCAGATAATGTTGCTAAACGATTTACAGTCGATAATCTTTCGAAAGCTTAAAAACTCAGGTTAGCATCAAATAGAAAGTTAGCACAATTTCTGGTATTTGTGGTATTTCTATTTCGAATTTTTTTTATTTAGTTCTTAAAAATGCTTTTAATTGGGTTTGTTTGTAACTTTATGTTTCTTCATATATATTTGTCTTTTAGTGTCAAACAAAGAATACGCGAATTATTTGAGATATGATTTGCAAAGAAAGTAAAAATCAAACTAGTTTCATTCTAAGTTATTGTATATAATTTTAAAATTTTTGAATAGAAGGGATGCAATGTTTATTTATTTTTAGTCTTTTAATTTCCGTATTTATTTGCCAGGACTAATATAATAACCGTGTATAACCTAAATAAATAAGAAGAAATAAAGCTTGACAGCGCAAAGTTATACAGTGTAAAATTGTCCTTTATTGTTTTTTGCAGTGTAGAAATAACATCAAAAATGATAGAAAAACGTTGGAGGGCGTTTTTCTTACAACGTTTTGCAAAAATGTTAATATAACGTTGATCTATGTTTCATATATGGATTATTCCAACGTGTAAAAAACGATAGAAAAGACGTTGGCTCAACGTCATTTTAGCTAAAATATAACGTTAGCCTAACGTCCTTATAACGTCTTTTTTCTTCAAATTTAACGTTGCTTTAACGTCTTTTCGACGTCATTATGCTAAAATGTAACGTTGTCACCACGTCATTTTACATCGTTGTAATAACGTTAGTAAAATGACGTTTTTTCGGTGTTTTATTTATAACATCATGCCAACGTCTTTTCAACGATACGAAAGACGTTCCCAGCAAGCACACCCATACGGGTCCCATACGGTTTTAATCTGGGCATCCAGTACGGGCTAAATCTGGTATTTTTTCATGGGGTTCATCTGGGTCCCTTCAGGGATTTCCCGGATGCGCGCGCAACCACGCGAAATTTTATTAGACTGACTTTATAATTTTCGCGCTTACTCAAAAATCTGGCATTTTCCTCAAAATAAATATAGTTAAGTTTAATACAGTTGTATATAATTAATTAAAATATATTTTTTAATTTCATTTATTAAACATGAGTTCACAAAGAACGAAACGACGAAAAATTGCTGCGGGCGCTAATTTACATCTCTACCCCCCTATTTTTATTTTTGATTATGATAGAGAATTTCATCCTGATTAAGAATCGTATAAAAACATAGGTCTGAAAATTAACAGAAAGTGCTCTAATTCGATGTTGAAGTTTAAAAAATTACACTAAAAAACGCTAATATTCGCCATTTTTTCATACTTGATTATAATTAAAATCCTTTCATAAAATGACTTTAAAAAAGCCTGGTTTCTATCAAAAATTTTAGCAAAACTGTTAAAAAATGCGTAACTTATCATTTTCTTATTGATTTCTGGCCCAAACCCTAACCCTGTCCCAAATCATGTACGTTTAATCGCACCAATCCCTTCTTGTCAGTCGATGTATGTGCATACAGTTGCGTCAATCCCTATTTGTATGTACATTCAATTACGCCAATCCCTATTTTTCAGTTGATACATGTACATTTAATTGCGCCAATCCATTTTTCAGTCGATTTATGCACAATTAAAAAGCAATATCTTAAATTAAATTTTGAAAATTTAATAAAAAATATATTCATAAGAAATTTATTTTAATTTAAATATAATTTAATTTTGGCAACAATAAAAACCGGGTTGTATAATTAAAAAAAGATTTTCTAAATAGTCGGTTTCTAAATGTAAAATTTGATATAAAACGTTTTTAAAAAATGGCGAATATTAGCGTTTTTTAGTGTAATTTTTTAAACTTCAACATCGAATTAGAGCACTTTCTGTTAATTTTCAGACCTATGTTTTTATACGATTCTTAATCAGGATGAAATTCTCTATCATAATCAAAAATAAAAATAGGGGGGTAGAGATGTAAATTAGCGCCATTGCTGCGGTGGTGCAAAAAATTGTCGAAGAAGCTTCTTTAAGTAGTTACGAATTAGTTAATGAAATATTTGTGGAGAACAATAATATAGATGAAAGTTCACATGAAGGTTCAAATATGAATGAATACCAAAACAAAAACAATACCACAGAATTTTATGATAATAATGATTGGCTTGCACGTTCCAATGATGATTCTGATAACGAAGAGATGGAGCAACTAAACCCAAACAAAAAAAGTTTAAACAAGGATCTAGGAAAATGGGCAGTCAGTTATAAAATATCTCACAATGCATTAGACAGTTTACTACAGGTTCTGAGAAAAAATGGATCAGATTTGCCTAAAGATTCTAGATCACTTCTACACACAAAGAGGAAAATTGAAACCAAATATGTTGCAGGTGGTGAGTATTATTACATTGGATTGCAATTTTGGCTTTCCTTACTATTTAAAAAATATCTTCTTTCAACAGATCTTTCAGTTTTTACTTTACATATCAGTATTGATGGTGTTCCGCTGTTTAATAACTCAAATATATCACTTTGGCCAATTCTAGGTTCTTTTTTAGAATTTGAACAGAGTGTCTTTCCAATTGCTTTATTTTCCAGTTCTTGCAAACCAAATTCTATAGATAACTATTTAATAGATTTTATTGATGAAATGCAACGTTTTCAAAAAGTTGGTGTTATATGTGACAAGACTGAAAAAGCATACAAAATAAAGTTAGAAGCAGTTATTTGTGATGCACCAGCTCGGTCATTTGTTATGTGCGTTAAAACACATAATGGATACAATTGTTGTGAACGATGTATTCAACCTGGCGAGTGGTATCAAAAAATAGTTTTACCAGACTTATCTGCTCCATTAAGGACTAATATAGACTTTTTGAATCAACATGATTCAGAACACCATAACGCAATATCTCCTTTTACAAAGCTAAATTATAATATGGTAAGTGGTTTTCCAATAGATTATATGCATTGCATTTGTTTGGGTGTTGTCAGAAGAATTTTAAACTTATGGATTCGTGGCCCACCTTCAAGTAGGTTGTCTCAAAATATTATTGCAGTAATTTCAGAAAAACTGGCAGCTTTGAGACTGTATATTTCAAAAGAGTTTTCTTGAAAGTCTCGTTCATTATCAGAATTCAGACGATGGAAGGCTACTGAGCTCCGTCTTTTTTTGGTTTAAACAGGGCCAGTGGTTTTAAAAGGACTGCTGTTACCAAATCATTATCAAAATTTTATTGACTTATCTGTTGCTGTAAGGATTTTGTTGTGTTCTTCTTTACTTAAACATTATGCTGGGTATGCTGGTCAGTTGTTACAATATTTTGTGCAGACTTTTGAAGAGTTGTACGGTAGAGATCAGCTAGTATACAATGTTCATTCATTAATACACTTAGCTGATGATGCAAAACACAATGGTGCTCTTGATAATTGCTCGTCCTTCAAATATGAAAGTTATCTTGGTCAATTAAAAAAGCTTGTTCGCAAGGCCCAGTCATCTTGTTCACAAATTGCCAAAAGAATTTTTGAAAATGCAGATTTTTATACCTATCAGCGTATTCATTCTGTTGGTTTTAGTAAACTGCACACTGAAGGTCCTGTAAATATTACTCTGAGCCATTATCTTCAATTCAAACAGTATCAGAACAAAAAGTATTTTATGTCTAACAGTGTCGGAGATAATTGCTTCGAAATATGTGGTAAAATTGGAATTGTTAGAAATATTTTAAAACCAACTGCCACCAATGATAATGCTTATATTCTTCTTGAGGCGTTTGCTTACAAAGAATCTTTTTTTAAAGATCCATGTGATTCTCAGAAGTTAAATATTTATATATAACTTCTGAGATATATATTAATATTAGTTATAAAGTGTATATATGTATGCAATGTTTATTATGTTGCTCTCAATGTTGAATATTTTTTTCTTTTAATATATATATATATATATATATATTATATATATATATATATATATATATATATATATATATATATATATATACCCAATATATATATACCCAATATATATATACCCAATATATATATATATATATATATATATATATATATATATATATATATATATATATATATATATATATATATATATATATATATATATAATATATATATATATATACCCAATATATATATACCAAATATATATATACCCAATATATATATATATATATATATATATATATATATATATATATATATATATATATATATATATATATATATATACCCAATATATATATACCCAATATATATATATATATATATATATATACCCAATATATATATACCCAATATATATATATATATATATATATATATATATATATATATATATATATACCCAATGTTTATTACGTTGCTTTGAATGTTAACTTTTAAAAGTAATTTATTATTTCTTTGTTTACAAAAAAAATTATATTTATTTCATAGTATTTAAATATATATATATATATATATATATATATATATATATATATATATATACATATATATATTGGGTATATATATTTATATATATTGGGTATATATATATATATATATATATATATACATATATATATATATATATATATATATATATATATATATATATATATATATATATATATATATATATATATATATATATATATATATGTATATGTCGAAGAGAACTTTACTAAGCAAAAAAGAAAAGTGTAAGCTATTTTATATGGCTCGATTTACTAAATTATTATTCTAAATTTTATTGTTAAAAAATTTGATTTAATATTAACTTACCTCTATATATTTTTTAAACATTATTCTTATTGTAAACAGCAAAGAAGATTTAATTGAAAGTACTGATTCAGAAAGTAAATACAGCAATGGGTGTTCTGTTTGTTTTTCATGTAGTTTTTTCTTTTTCTTTTTTTCACAAAATTTATTTGTTTGTTTTTGTCTGTTCTTTGTTCTTTCCTATTTTATTTTAAATTAAATAATTATTTTTTTATTTTTTTATTTATAGAAGAAAGAAAAAAAAGATATCTGAAAAGCTTCCTAAGCCTGTAATACCAGAGAGACAAATTTTTCTTCTTAAATTAGTGGTTTAATTTGATAATTGTCAATAAAATAATTTATCATTGCATGAATGAAAGCATTTTTTGATTTATAAATATGGTTTATAAATAGTTAAATTTAATTATATGTTTAACATATAATTATATTTAACTATTTATAAACCATATTTGTAAATCGAAAACTGATTTCATTCATTGATTATCATTGATATGATTAATATTGTTAATCATATAAATAAGAAATAAACTGTACCTATACTAATGACTATGAAAAATTAAATAACAGTATTGATTTTGGGTTATTAGGGGTTTGTCATTTTGAGATTGAAAACAGTGGATTGTTAACTCCTGTGGTACGCACAGAATCGTCAGGTAAAGTTTATATTGTTGTAACATTTTAAACTGCTACTAATATTATCATTCAATATCGTTCTTTATTATTTTTTTTAAGAAAAGGAAGTTCAGCACAGACAAAATAAAACTTTTGATTTACAGTCAGAAAGTGTTGTAAAGTCAAAAGATATGTCTGGTCTTCCTGGCAACACAAGTACTTCATAGTTAAAAACGTTTGGTTACACTACATCTGGTAAGATACTAAATTAACAAAATACATCACCAACATTTTCCTTCTAATTATTTTTTAAAAGTATATGACAATATGATGTCAATCAAAAGTAAATCAAAATAGTATCCAATAGTGTGAAGTGATTTTAAAAATTTATGTCTTTTGGTGAAAAAAATTATTCTATGTCTTTTGGTGAAAAAAGAACCTTACTTTTTTTGTAATTTTAATTAGTTCTTTTTTTTTTTTTAGTATTTGCTTTAGGTGCCCTAAGAAGTCCTTTACAGTCTTATCACAGAGCACAGCGGAGAAGAGCATTTAATAGAAAGTGCACACCTCCTTTATAACCGATGTAAAAAAACTTGTCCAGAGGTGGGTTTCGAACCTGGGATCTCTAAACTCTGAGACAAGCGTGCTAACCACTGCGCTACACTGCTGCAAATTTTTGTTATTTTACTTTGTTAAGTTACTTTGAGACTCCTCTTTTTTTCTTCTAAACTATATCAACTTAGTACTCAAAAGAAATTGCTGGTTTTGCATATATATACAATATTATATACATATTAATGTATACACAATAAAATTTGTTTTTATTTAAAACTAAAAGAATAAAAAATAGTGTTGTCTTTTTCAAAAAAAAAACGTCTTCAACGAAACAGGGGTTTCAAGTATATTTTGGAAATATTTTATGAACTCTTTTACCAAATAATTATTTATAACACAATCATTTTTCTTTTTGTTTTGAGTACAAAGTTATGGTTTATGGAAAAAAAAATCAAAAATATTAGGACCCGAATTCCGAGAATTTAGAATCCAAGGAGGAACCTTAAAATCTTGTCATAATTGGAAAGTATTTGTTTACTTTTTTCTTATACTTAATAAAGATCGATTCGCGTCTCAGGAATGTTTATTTTTAAACTCTTTTTTCTGCTGTGAAAATTGCTCCACCCTAGTATCAAATACCACTTTGTTTGAATTATTAATTTTTTTTTATATTGGTTTTTAATAATTGCTTCATTTTTACATTATAAGCAGAAAAATTGTTGTTGAAAATTTAGGCAGCTCATAAAGAAATAAGAGAGTCGCAAAAGTTGCATTCAGCTATGTTGCACAGCATTCAGCAACAAGTTAATTCAATGCATGGCATTACAGAGGATGAAATTGAATTAAACTTACCACTTAAAACAACTGAAGATGTCGAAGCTTTTGAAGATAGTTTGAAAGATGAAGATGTGAAAAAAAAATTGGTAAACTTATTATTTAAGGTTTTTCCTGCATTGAATATATACCAAATAAAGTATAGGTTTATATTATGTCTTTTTTTTTTTTATATGTACATTTTTAAATTAAATATTTTGATATATATTATCCTTTTTGAAGTGATTTTTATTATTTTTATTGAATTTTATTATACAATACTACATATTTTTATTTATTTAATAAAATATATATATATTGAAACTTTATTATTTATTTATTTATTTTATTATAACTCTAACCTTAACCCTGCCCCAACCCTCCATCGATGCATAGAATACTTTGCAAGTTTTTCCTCAGTCATTGGATGCAAGACCCGGCCATTGTTAGGTCACTTTTCCCTATTTGCCCCAAATAATAAAAAAGTAACTAGTTTTGAATTTACTTTTTTTTTTTTTTTTTCACCAGGTTCAGGTCCTTGTAAATAACGGTGGTCTGAATATAACAAATTTTGTAAAAAGGAATATGAAATTTTTATTTTCTAATGAACTGGCACGAAAATATAACCTAACTGGTCAGAAAAATAAAAAACCATTTCAGCCATTGCAGCTATTTCAAATGTTTTGTAAGTATGTTATAGTTACTATATCATAGTATGAAGTATATATTATACTTTCTTTATTTTCTTCTTGAATTAATGGTAGGAATTGCAATCCTGCCCTCGAGATCCCGCATTATTTCAGCGCATGCGAGGTCCCGCTCAGAGTACTGATGGTTCCTCGCCACAAATTAATTATGGATCCGTGCCAATTTGGTGGGAAATATAAGTAGAATACAGTGCATGCATTTTTAATCTCTGATAGTTTGTAAATTGTATAAATTGTGGACATATATAAATTATATTACATAAATTACATAAGCCACATACTGTTGACAATTGAGCAGAGATTAAGAATAAATGCATTGTTATTCATTTTTATTTTACTAGTGACTGGCGATGATCCAGCAGAAATCTGTGGCGTAGATCTAGTGTTTCCCCTGTGTTCAAATAATGCAAGATCTCGCAGTGTGGGATTGCAATTCTTAATTAATGGTATTGATTTCGTTATTTTCATAGCAAAAAAATTATTAGTACTTTTACCCAGGACCATCCATAAAGAACGTCATCTAAGTAGGGTGGTAGGGGTCAAGATTAAAAAGACACAAAGGCGGAGGAGGGAGGTTGTCAGAAAAGGACATCACTTTATAGATTTTTTATTTCAATTTTATAAACATGAAAAACTGTAACATAAACATGAAAAAATGTAAATATGTGTTTTTATGAAGATAATTTAAAATAATGTTTTTAATTTTGTTTTTCAAAGGTGTAGGACAAGTGTCAAGCATCATTGTAAGGTCAAATAATTTTTTTTCCGGTTAAAATAATGGGGGCGGTATCGATTTTGTGACGTCCTTTTCAAGCGTAGGGGTACAGGAAAAAAGTACAAACGGTGACCAGGGGGGGTCAAAAAATGCTCAAAAAAGGTTCTTTATGGATGGCTCTTATCTTGTGTCATTGATAATTTTTTTTTATATCTTCAATATTTGCAAATATTTAGGAATTTAAGCGTCTAAAAAAATGACAATTAATAAGATTAATGAAAAGTATGGTTTAAGGTGGCCACAAAAATATAAAAGTATGTATTGATTTAGAAGCTAATGAAATTTATTTCAACTAATGTTGTATGTTTAGGTGCAGCAAAAAGAAACTATGAAACAAAACAAAATTTATCAAAAAAGCTTCTTGAAGAAGTACTTTCCACTTGGTTTGGTAATGCTCGAGATAGAGGTAAAGACAGCCGAAAAGGGAGAAATTCAAATGCAGCAAACACGGAAAACAACATATAGAATGTTTAATGTACATTATATATATATCGAATGCAGCAACGAACACACATATATATATTGATTACATATTTAATAATAGTTTATTTTATTTAATAAAACATACATGCACATGTGCTTGTGTTTTCAATTTGTATATAAACGTGCTAAAACGTTTTGCTTTCAAAGAAAATGAAAAATTTAATGAAAAAATTGTTTTAAACAAGTAATCGTTAAATAAAAGTATAAAAATCACAGTTATAAATAATACAAAATACATTCGGGGAAAATCTGGGATCAATGCGGGAGAAATGAAAAAGCAGGCGATCGATTTTCGTTTTTTTTTATTTAGCCCGTATGGTTCCCATTTTTATTTCCTAAGAAAGCAGTAGGTATCTTTTAAAGATTTGTTCCTCCTCACAATATTTCTAGAATCACCTCTAAAAAATTTATTTATATTTTGTTGGTTTTAATGCAAAATAAAAATTATATATAATATATAAATAAAAAATATATTTTTTACTACTAACCTCAAAAAAATCCATCCTTTTTTATCTTTACTTAATAGATTTTAATGCGTTGCTTCAGTTCTTGATAACTTTTTTTTTTTTTCTCTTAAGAGAAAAATAAATAATTCCTCTTAATAATACGTATAACTTTTTATAAAATAAAAGCTATTTATAAAAATAACACTTTATATTAAATGTTTAGATTTAATTAGTCATGATAAAAAAATTAATTAACTTTTAATATATTGCCTAGGATATAAATATTCGATCTAAACTAGAATGATTTTTTATTTATGTAAGTTAAAGTACTTGTATCCTATAACATAAAAGGTAATCTTTTTAATTGGATTTCCGCTTTTCTCACCGATAGATATCAACAAGTCAAGGTCGGTATACGCATTGTTAGCGGAGATCCACAGGGTAGTGTGTTAGGTCCCACATTGTTTTTATTATATGTTAATGATTTAACTGCTATAACTAATAATCTGAACTGTTGTGTAAAACTTTACGCGGATGATATAAAGTTATATAGTTCGTACCGTGATATGGATCTAAGTTAAGATTTAGTTGTTGCTTTAAATAGACTTGTACAATGGGCAGAAACTTGGCAACTAAAAATTGTTTGTAGTAAGTGTTTTGCACTTAGAATAGCACCTTCCTCGTTATGCAAAGGTATAAAGGCTAACTATAAATTAGGTAAATATTCTTTGGCTTGGTCTTCAAACCCAAAAGATCTAGGAGTAACAATGGACTGCAACCTTAATTATAAAAAGCATATTTTTAACGTCATCCATCAAGCTAACTCTAAAGCATACTTAATTTTGAAATATTTTAAAACACGTGACCCTTGTATCGTAGTTAGAGCTTTCACTAACTATATACGACCAATTATAGAATATTGTTCTCCAGTATGGTCGCTACACCTAATTGGATTGATTAAATCAGTTGAAAGTGTCCAACGATTTGATCAAAATACCATGTCAATACCAGATCAAAAAATTCAAAAAAAGTTCAACGAAAATTTACAAAAAAAATAAAGAGCCTTAGAAATCTTTCTTAATAGAATACAGTTGCTTGGCAACGAATCACTCGAAGTTCGGCACCTTAAAAACGACTTAGTAACTTACTTTAAAATTTTTCGTAAACTTGTCTGTACTGATCAATCTATGTTCTTTGCGATTGACAATAATAACCACACCCGGGGTCATAGTTATAAAATAAGCAAACAATCTTGTCGCTTGGATTTAAGAAAATATAGCTTTTCTTACCAAGTTGTTGACATGTGGAACAATATGACCTCGGAGGCTGTAAATGCATATAATATTTTAACGTTCAAAAATAAAATTAAAACTTTCGACTTTAACAAATATCTATTGTAAAAGGAACAATTATTTGTTTCTTTAAAGTTTTGTTTTTTTTTTTTTTTTTTTTTTTTTTTGTAGCGATACTTTTAAATTTCTTTGGGTACGTTGTTAGTGTCCATCTTTGTTTGGGCCTTCGTGTCTTTGGAACATGTATTTATACTTTGTCCTAATAAATATCAAACAATTAATCAAAGTAATTAAGAAATTTTATCTTTTAAACTGCGTTTTAGTAGAATTAGAATTATTTGTGGATCTATGATTGCATGCAGAGTTTTGTTAATTATTTTGGTAATATCTCGTTAAATATGTCTGAGACATATTTTCTGCCGAAATAAAAAATGTCCCACATATTTTCTTTCGACGTATTTTAATATAACTTTATGTTTGAATAATTTTCTGCTGACATAACAAATGTTTATATTATTTTTATTAAACATATTTTTATTAAACATATAATTTTTATTAAACATAAAAACTTTTCCGAAATATTTCATCTCATCAGAAAATGTTTTAGAAATGAAAGCCCTATAGCTGTATAAGTTTCATCTTAATTATAAAAAAGAATTTTTAAGTTCTTTCTCAGTTTATTAGCAACTCCAGAGTGATAATTCAAACCAATATATTGCAAATGAAAAATTTTTTTTTTTTTTATTTGTTAAGCTATTATAAAAAAAATTTTTTGCTAAGCTAATATAAAAAATTATCTTGTAAATCTGAAGAAAATCATTTATTTGTTAAACTTAATTCAAAACGTTTTTGTTATTATTATTATTTAAATAATGATTTTGTTATTATGCAATTATAAAAATGTCATTTGAGATGATAGAAAAGTATAGTATTTTTAATTATTAGTGTAAATTTGACAAAGAATCGCGTTTACAATCTAAAGTTTTATAATTTCAGTTTAAGTAAAGAGTTTTAAAGACTTTTACTTAAACTGAAATTATAAAACTTTAGATTATATAAGCTTTAAGAAAATTAAAAAGTATTTATTTAATATCGACCTCCGAGTGGATACGAGACGTAAAGTCTTTTAAATGTCTTTTGGTCGTTTTGTACGTCTTTTGAACGTTTTGAAGGTTTTTTGAACGCTCAAAAGACGTCTTTTTCAGGACCAGTGCCCACTGGGCTTTTTCTTAAATATTGTTCCGTTTAGTAAAACATAGAATCATTTTGGGTTAAGGGTTATTGTATTTATTTATTTATTTCGTCACCATAAAATAAGTACAATGCTGTTAGATATAAATAATATTTGGGCGAGTCTACTCGCACGCACGTGTGAATAGACTATATCTTATTATAGTCTATTCGCACGGTTAAAAAAAAATTTCAAGTTTGATTTTTAACATGAAATCTCTCACAAACAAAAAATAGACTATACTAAGATATAGTCTATTCACACGCGAAATCTCTCACAAACAAAAATTGTTTATAACTTAAATCATATATTTTGAAAGCAATTTAATTTTTTTAATCAATTATAATAAAAATAAATAAAATTACTTAAATATAATTAATTTTTTATTCAAAAAACAAACAAAAACGTTCCAATAGGTAAAATAAACATTAAAAAATACTTCTTTTTTTTAATTAAAAGATTGCCTGCCCAAAATAAAAACCTTCGTCATTGCATTTATACTTATACCTAGATAAGCAGTCAAAATGTAAATACACTACGGTGCGCATATCCTTCAAAAGTCAGCCAACGTAATTACTGCGTTAATACTCCACTGCGCTAGTTTAAAATTAAATTTAAAAACCAATAATAATAAACCAAATTTTTTTAAATTCCCTTTAAATTCGATGATCTTTACCTTCTTTTAATTAAACGTGCGAATAGACTATAATTAAATATAGTCTATTCGCACGTGAAAAACGTACCGATAGACACTCCGATAATATTTAGATGACAATAGAATATATACATGACAATAAAAAATTAACAACTTTTGCCTCATCAACCTAATGCTTGCCTGACAAATAATCTTGACGAATTGTACTCGTGTCTTTAGATCATTAAAGGTTAAAAGTACAATTACTTCATACTATTTAAACAAATATTGTTAAGATTAGTTACTACGTTACTATGTTACTATGTTACTACGTTAAAATTAAAAGAAAATTATATTAATAATTATACCCGATTTGACTTTTTGTTCAAACCTTAAAAAATAAAGATAAGTTAATAAGATAACTTACAGAACGTTTAGAAACAAGTTTCTAGGATAGTTGTTAAAAAAAAAGAATAAATAAATATCATCTAGAAAAAATTTAATTCATTAACATCAATAATAAGATTTTCATTTTTGTTTAAATAGAGAAAGAAAATAACAAATTTTTATTATTAAAGTGTGATATAATTAAGGATCTTATATTAATGTATTAGGTGAAAATGACATGGTAACACCAGAAAATAGTAAAATGTTTGTAAAATTAACTACAAGTAATCTTGCTACTAAACAAAAGGCAGTTAAAATGCTTTAGCAATTCAGCTGTTGTTTAATAAAAAGGATTAAAGACTTACATTTATTCTTTTGTCATTTTTAAACAAAAAAATTAAATCATATGATGAATCAAAATCATAAATCATACTATGATTTCTGAAGAAGTATCAACAACACTAATGGTATGATATATATTTATGTTAACAGTAGCTGTTAAACATATTTATATTTGCTACTTTTTTATTTTATGTTTTTATTTAAATATTTTAAATATTTGAATTATAATTAATACTTTAGAATTATTTTGTTTTGGTCAACCCACTGTTGAAATATGGCCTTTAATTTAGCAAATTTTTATGATTTAAAATTTACTACATTATTCATCAGATAACAGTTAAGGAAAAATTTGGTACATCACAGTTACGTTAGGAAAAGTGATGAGTTAATTATTGTAATTGTTGTTATGATTGTAATGCTATTGTTATAATTTGTTGTATGACTCTTCTTTTAATTGTAACTATTTTTACATGTGTGTGTATTTAGGTTGTATATCAATTACATAATATCTGTTTGACTTTTTACTATTTTATCTATTTCTTGATACTCCAACCAATGATGCCCCATTTTACTTGATTGGGTTTTTAAATATAAATATGATGTTGTAGCTAAAAATATATTTATTTAATTTTATATATTTCTATAGTTTTAAGGAGCTATGTCTGAGTCTACAAAACAGTTATTTTGTCGGGTTTTACAAGAAAAGTTAAAAAGCATTACCCACGAGAATCACGAAGCTTTGCTTTAACCTTATTTAATTTTTATTCTGCTAAAGCATATAGTTATGTTAGAAAAAAGTTCAATGCACTTCCTCATTTACGAATTATACAAAAATGGTATGGTATGAAAATGTTGACTGTTCCCCTGGATTTTGTAAATAAGCTCTTGGTACTCTTCATAACAAAGTAAAAGAGGCTCAGAAAATTGGTCAACGTCTTGTGTGTTTATTGATGTCAGACGAAATGGTCATTTAAAAACAATTAAATGGACAGGCCATAAATTGTCTGGTTATACTGATTTTGGTGCTGATATTAATAATGATAGTTTACCTAAAACAAAAGAAGCTTTAGTTTTTATGAATTAATGGACGTTGGAAACTTCCTGTTGCATATTTTTAAATTAATGGTTTAGGTGGTTGTGAAAAAGCTAATATTGTTAAGCGTTGTCTACAATTTATTTATGAAAGTGGTGCAGAAATTATAAAGTTATTATTGCTAAATATTTAAAGATAAGATTGCACCACAAAGCTGACTCGATCAACAAATTACTACATAATAAACGTATACAAAGTGTATTAACAAAGTAAATTGAATTTTTGAATTAATAAAAAGTTATTTTGTATATTAATGAATAACAAAACAGATAAAATTGTATTAGCTGATAAGTTTTCTATTCTAAGAAATCCATGAATGCATTAAAATAATAATTGATACATATAACAAATTTAATGATATTTTAAATAAAAATAATAATAACGTTTACTACAAAATTTTACATTAACGAAAAGTTTTCGTTTCTTAAAGCTTTATTCCGTTTTGTTACGCTCAAACGTGACGTCACGCGCTAAATGATGGTTACTTCAAAATATTTAACTTACGGCAAGTCTATCAGTTTATATGGTCGAAGAGTGTACCGTGGCTTTATTTTTTTTCTGATTGGTTGTTTTTTTTTCTTTCTTTTATTTTAAGATTGCATGCCCAAACAAAAACCCTTTATCGATGTATGTGCGCTCCACAGCACCTATCCCTAAATCAGTCGATGTATGCACACTTACTGCGCCTATCCCTAAATCAGTCGATGTATGTACACTCACTGCACCATCCTTAAATCAGTCGAATTATGTAAATAATAAAAATTAATGTAATTTTCAATATAAAACAATAATAATTTTTTCAAATAAAACTATTAAAATAAACCAATGATAACTTTACTACCGTGAATTCAAGATAAAAATTAAAGCAACGCACAGTGAATCGACTCATGCAATCTAGCTGGACATTGGCAAAAATTCCTGGAATTGACAAAAGTCAATTCAAGGAATCAATTAATAGATATTCCCATTATATTACTGAATACTTCTTAGGGAAAAATTCAAAATATTAAATAGTGCACGCGATTTTAAGTGTTAAATTATTAGCGCTCAAGTGTTACTTAAAGATAAACATATTTTTTTTAAAGAAAATAGCTGCAATTTTGCTGTGTAACAATAACATATAACTAATTTATTGTTAATAATAATTAACTCTACTGTCATGAATTTTACTTTAGAAGGTATGAACTTTGTATTTTATCGAAAACTTATCTAAAATAATTGGCAAAAATGATAATTCTATAGATTTAAAAAACAATATAAAAATTGCAATTTCTTTTTCGTTTTTTAATTTTAAAAGCGTGTAACTAATTTTATCCAAGTATATCCAAGCTGATTTTTGTATATATTATAACCACAACAATAAGTTGTCTAAATATAAAAGATTTGGCTGCCCTTATTTGCCCATTTCATTTTTATTTAACTTTTTTCAGACCGAGTATATTCTATTAAAAAACTGGAGTTATTTGAAGTATGGAAAAAACATGCAACGGAAGAACGAAATTCTCTTTTGTTTCATTATATATTGAAATACTATATTACAGAAGATGTTACTAGTGATTCGAATAAAAAAATACAGTTAAAATTTGCAAGCATATCCGCTAAATTTGCGCAAAAGTGGAATGCAGCCAATAGAAATATTGATATATTTTTAAAGAAAAATAAAAGTTGGTTAGAGGGCAATAATTTAGAATTTAAAATAAGTTTGCATCGGTCCTGTGCTTCCATAACATCTGAAGGAAATCGGTCTCAAGGTCGGCCAAAGAAAAGCTTTGAAGACTTATCTTTAAAAAGTAAAAGACGTAGAGTTGAAGACTTATTGCAATCGCGGAGTGCCAATGAATTAACAACGGCTGCTGAAATAGCACATCGTTTGTCGGGTCAAAGAAACGTAGCTAATTCTATTAGAAAAAGTACAAATACCTTAGAGCAAAGAAAATCTACTGATGTTATTTGTGGTACCAGGCAGTTAAGTAACAATGAGGCACTTGCCTATTATGTAGATTCAAAGTGTACTAGTCACTCTTATAAACAAAAAAAAAAGTGGTCGTTGAAAGCAGGGCATGAAGTACTTCCGTCTTACTATAATTTATGTAAATCCAAAAGGTTGTGTTACCCTCCTGAAGAATTTATTTTTATCTCAGAAACACGAGCTGAAATTAAACTTCAAGCCATATTGAATAAAACAACTGAACGCTTAATTGAAACAATAAGTCGATTTTCCGAAAATGCATCCTCTAATTTGTCGCTTACATTAATAAGCAAATGGGGATGTGACGGAAGTTCTGGCCACAGTACCTATAAACAAAGAATTGAGAACTCCGATGATAATGATGAATTTCTTTTTGTGTTTGCGTTTGTCCCGTTGAGATTGAGTGATGACTCTAATAATATTATTTGGCAAAATCCTCGCCCATCGTCAACACTTTATTGTCGACTAATTAAATTTATATTTTCAAAAGAAACACAGGAATTTACTGTTATAGAAACAGACAAAGTTTTGAAAGAAATATCTGAACTTCTTCCAACACTGTGTACTGTTGGCGAATTTAAATTCACTGTGAAGCACAATCTGTTACTTACAATGACATACGGAAAAGTTTGTAATGCTTTAACCGATACGCGCTCTACACAAAAATGTTATATTAGTGGTGCTACTCCAAAAATGATGAATGGCGAATTAAAAGGTATGGTTGATAAAAAAGAAAGTTACAATTTTGGTTTGTCTACTTTTCATGCATGGATACGTACATTTGAATGCTTGCTACACATTAGTTACCGTTTAGACATTAAAAAGTGGCAAGTTAGAAGCAATGGGGATAAATGTCGTATGAGAGAACGTTCGGAAGAGATTAGACAAAAGTTTAAAAAACAAATGGGACTAATTGTGGATAGACCGAAACCACATTATGGCAATACAAATGATGGCAACACAGCTCGCAGGTTTTTTTTAAACCCAGAAAAGAGCGGAGAGATTACAGGATTAAACGTCGAATTAATTAAAAAATTTAGTGTTTTATTAAGAACGCTTTCTTCCGGTCATGACATTAATTGTGTCAAATTTGAAAAACTTTGTTTCGAAACAAGGACTTTATATTTACATTGTTACTCGTGGTACTACATGCCGGTTACAGTCCACAAAATTTTAATGCATAGCACGGAAGTTATTAGGTCGTGTATTCTTCCGATTGGACAACTTTCAGAAGAATCTCAAGAAGCACGAAATAAAGATTGAAGGAGATTTCGAGAACATCATTCCAGGAAAAATTCACGCATTTCTACAAATATGGATTTGTTGAATATGCTCTTAATAACATCTGACCCTGTTATCAATTCACTTAGAGAGCTGCCTGCAATAAAAAGCAAAAAATTGCCAGTAGAGGTTTTGAATTTGATTGTTCCGGCTCCAAGAATTGCAAATTGTACTTGTTCGATGAATCAAATGATGAGTCATCTGAAGATTCAAAAGATGAGTGTTTAGAGGATATAAACGACGAGTTTTCTGATAACTAATTATAAAATTTATTGTATAATATTATGTATTCTTGCTCTACAAATATATTTATTACTTCTATTTTTATTATAACAGTGGTTGCTGCAATGAGGGGAAATAGGGGGGGTAGTAGTTAGGGGTAGGGTCCCTTATCCTCCGCAAATAAAAACGTATAATTTATTAAACTCAAGTTAATTATTCAATAAAACAACAAAATATTATTTATTTCAACCTTTCATGACTAGAAAAATCGAATTCGTGAACAAAACATTTTTGTCCAGCTAGATTGTATGAGTCGATTCACTGTGCAACGGTTCCGTTGCGCTAGATACAAGTTTTTTTTCGCAAACATCGTCGTGCATTCGTAACGAAAAAAAAAATAAGCTACTGCACACGGTGATATTTATTTTTAAGTTTTTTAATTATTTAATTTTTAATGTAGCGATGTGCTTCCGTGGCGCAATTGGTTAGCGCGTTCGGCTGTTAACCGAAAGGTTGGTGGTTCAAGCCCACCCGGGAGCGTTTGCATTTTAATCATACCAGTTATAATATTAATAATTTTAAATCACTGATCTCAAAATATAACTGGATAGCGGTTTCTATTGTTTTTTCCGAAAAAAGTTGAAGCCAAAATTGGCCTCCCAAGATGGCGGCGATTCTAGTTTTTAGCGGTGAAACCGATATACATTCTATTTTATTTTATCAAAATACAAAAGAAAATAATGAAATAAAACTAATAAATTCGTAAAAAAAAAAAAAAAAAAAAAAAAAAAAAAAATGATATTTATAATTATTAGAGAAAAAAAAGAAATTATTTTTTTAAATAATTGAATTTATTATTAAATGGCATCAGTGAAATTTACAATTTTAGTTTTATGTATAATTTAAGTGCCATTTAATTCTAACTAAGAATCCTAAGAATAAGAACCCTGTATGCTAAAAGGTTTTCTGCTGTTTACTTTTCATAACAGCATGGTAAACAGCAGCAATCATGTCTACCTACAATTTTATACTTAATATTTTTTAAGCAAAATGCCAATTTGTTCAAATGCTGCATGAACTAAAAACTGAGTGCTATAAGTACACAAAAACTCAGGGGCTTCTTCTAGACTTATATTATACTTAATTGCTATTATTGCATAAATTAAATGATTAAAAAATTTAAAGTGTCACTTATATTGGTATAAAAACCCAAGTCTGAATTATAGTTATTTTAAACAAATAAACAGTAAATCATCTTTTCTTATAACTTAAAGGATAATCACTCAGTACAATTGGTAATGAAAATGTTTGCAAAAATACATTTGTTTGAAAATAATGTATTTATTAAACTTTTAATATACAAATATTCAAAACACCTCTTTGAAATATTTCTTGAATTAAAGTTATATATAATGTTTACCTGCTGTTAAGAATTACGGATATATGTTATAGTTTGCTTTTTTATATTATTAAACTGTATGTTGCAGTTAAATAATTTTAAATGCCGATGAGTTTATTCACGTAAAAGATTGATTACATGACATATAAAAATCAAGAAACCTATTTGCCAATGAATACAATCAGCATTGTGTGCATGTAACAAGATTCTTTGTTTTCCATTTCTTGGCATGTCATATAATTATACCATTAGTCTTAAAGATATTAATTGGTACACAAACAATCTTTCATAGTCTAAAAACTTATTTTATTAGATATTTAGTAGCAGTTTAATCTGTTTAAAATATATATCTTGACTGAGAAAAAATAGAAAGTTCACTATAAAATCATTTAACATATAAGTTCAGTCAAAA